TTTTTTTTTTTTTTTTTTTTTTTTTTTTTTTGGGACAAATAATCTAACAGCAAAAAGATGAATCATTACCTGTAAAGTAACACTTTGACAGTCATCTTCCTCATAACCCTACCTTTTTTTCCTCAAAAAAACATGTTTTTTTTTCAGCCAAAAATCAGAAAAAGACCCGTCGAACGGAGGCGATGGTCCGTCGGTGACGTTCAACAGTTCATGGCTGCCGGACTTCATCACCGGAGAAGGATCATCCAAAACAATGGCTTTGTCTTCAGCTTTGAATTGGACACTGTTTCTTTTTATTTTTTTCATTTTCTTCTTCCATTAGATTTAATTTCCACATGTTCTTCTGGTTTTTAGGCAGAATGTTTCTACATTAACAATTTCTTGATTTTTGTAATATTTATTGTATTTAAATTTTGAAGAAATTGTTGAGAAAAAAAAAAAAAAAAAAAAGCCTCTAATTCTTTGGAACAGCTGCCTTTCATGATCTGAAAGGTGGTTGCTTGAGTTTGAATCCGAGTGATATGGTTGGTGGATGGTGGAGGTTTGCGGTGGTGATGGCGGCTGCGACGGCGGGGAACCTGCCGTAAAGTACCAACTTTGCTGGTCTCTCAAGTTTGGTAGCTTTAATTCCTTTTCTGATGGAAGATCTTAACCATCGTCGTCGTTACTTTACGATTAAGACTAAGATGGGGCCCACTGCTGTGACTGAGTTATCTTCAAATTTTGTTTATATTAACAGTTAAATTAATGGTATAAAATTACCAAAAAAAAAAAAAAAATCTAAAAAGAACATAGAATTACTAGATTTGATCACGTGGGTTAGCTCGAGTAAATTATTGTTGATTGAAAATCTCGAGTTTAGTTTGTAACGTGATGTAACTCAATTTGAACAAACCCTTATATCTTTGGGTCGGGTTCTTTGGTTCAACTAACAGTAGTCATTGAGAGAGACCTAGAACCAGCCACGACAATAAGAGCTCATGGTGAACAAACGACAAAGAGATAGAAAGTGAGAGACAGACAACTGATCTAGTTGAGAATTTGAGCGTCGATGAAGGATAAAGGAGAGGGAGATGAGATTCATTGGTATCGACGAATGGAGAATGCTCATACCCAATAAATGAAAGGACGATTGATAAAGAGAGATGGGTTGCGCGTCACGTGTCACAATTGCACTATTTCAGCAACGGAACATTAATCACGTAACACTTAGTCAGCGTGTGTGAAAATTAAATTTTACAGATAATTTTAACTTATGATCGATTATCGAGCTACGTTTGACAAAAAATATTTTATATAACTTGAACGAGAAGATAAATGGAAAATAATTTTAAAAAAAATAATGATACAGACTAACATAGCAAAAAACATTTTAACATTAGACTGATTAATTATATTTGGGAAATATTTTATTAATGCACTTAATTTTATTTTGTATTTATTTAAAAAAAAACGTTTTTAATGATTGTTTGCCACATCTCAATCAACGAATCGATTAAAAGTATGACAATTTCCAAACGTATCCTCCGGGAAACATACTGTGTTTCCACGTCTAAAACAAAATATCAACCCAATAAATTTTAGCCACGTGGAAACAAAGCAATCAATACCGTCGGATTCTCCACATCGGCTGCCATAGCCCGTTAAGATCAAGTAGACTTCCACTCCCAGGTCTTAAGTAGGGACAAGAAATGGAAATTTGGAATGGCTTTATCCACGTCGAGCAAAGGAATATTATCCAATAACATTTCGCCACGTTTACTAGAAGAAAGCGATACGGTTGGATTCTCCACGCTGGCAATATAGATCAATCCAATAGACCTATATAAATGTTGCGAGCCAGTTGAGAAACCAGATTAGTAGTCGAAGCTACTGGAAGTTTTGCAAGAATCATGAGGAAGTGGACGATTGCTTCTGCTCTTCTCCTTCTTTGCTTTCTCTCCCTCGTACCTGATGAAGGTGTGATTTCGGTTCTTCTTTTATCCATTTTGATTTCTTTGTTGAAATGTGGACTGAATGCATATTGCATTATGTTAATCACGATGGTTCATTGTTTTTTGGGGGGCTTGGGGAGAAATTTGGGTGATATTTGAGCTCTCTTTGAACTGTGAAGATTTTATGGTGTATTGATTTATGTTCTTTTTTCTCGCGTTTAGGTTCTAGATTTCATGCCAAGGCCGACGGTGATGCCGACGAAGTTGTAGATCCACCAAAGGTCGAGGAAAAGATCGGCGCCGTTCCGCATGGACTCTCCACGGATTCTGATGTTGTCAAGAGGTTCGTGAATGTTTAATCTCGTATATACACGCTTTCACCGACAGATTTATCCAGTTTAGGGAAATTTCTAACGTATGTTCTCTCGAATTGTGGTTTCAGGGAGTCGGAGTCCATCTCGAAGAGATCTCTTCGAGGCAGCGCGGAGAAATTTGAGTTCCAAGCTGAGGTGTCTCGTCTCATGGACATTATTATCAATTCCTTGTACAGTAACAAAGACATTTTCCTCAGAGAATTGATCTCCAACTCTTCTGATGTAAGTCCACTCCGCCTCGACGTACTTCATCAGATCTCGTAATCTCGTAATTAGAGATCGGTTGTTACTGATAGTGTCTCTGCATTTCAGGCGTTAGATAAGATTAGGTTCCTTTCCCTGACCGATAAAGAGATTTTGGGTGAAGGCGACAACTCGAAGCTGGAGATTCAAGTGAGTTTGACCATCATGCTAGATTTGGACACATTGTTTTCTTATTACCTCGCTGAGCAAGAAAATTGCTCGTTCTAGTCAATGACCCTTGCATACTTACGTTGTTGTCCATATATCAAATATCGCAGATTAAGCTGGACAAAGCAAACAAAGTCCTATCGATTCGCGACAGAGGTATTGGTATGACGAAAGAGGATTTGATTAAGAACTTGGGAACCATAGCGAAATCTGGAACTTCAGGTACTTCTTTTTATTTATTTTACGTCGGTAGGCTTAGTGTGAGGTACTGAATTTGCTATCTTCCTGTGCAGCATTTGTGGAAAAAATGCAGACAAGCGGTGATCTCAATCTTATTGGCCAATTTGGAGTAGGTTTCTACTCCGTGTATCTTGTGGCTGACTACGTTGAAGTGATCAGTAAACACAACGATGACAAACAGTGAGCAACTCTCATTATTATTTGGATGTGTTTGCCATTGCCATGGTATTAGTTATTGTTTGCTTAACTTTTTTTTCCTTGTTTCTAGACATGTGTGGGAGTCCAAGGCTGATGGAGCATTCGCCATCTCTGAAGATACTTGGAATGAACCCTTAGGCCGCGGAACTGAAATTAGATTGCACCTTAGAGATGAAGCTCAAGAATATCTGGAGGAGGGCAAACTGAAAGTAAGTTTAGTTTGCTTTTCTCGTTACCTGCTTTTAATGTTTGTTAACGATCGGATCCTCAAATTGGACACGAATGGACGTCCTTCTAGATCTTTCGTTCACGAGGAATAATAAATCATGTCTTTTGTGCTTGAGAGCCTATGGAGATAAAATTGTTCGATGTACCTCCCAATGCCCAAACATTTTCTCTAGAATTTACATTGTTACCTGTTTACAGTGTATTTTTTTGTTCCTTGATGATACATTTTAGCTGTTAATTGATTTTCCCTCTCTTGGAACTGTTATCACCAAGCAGTTATCTTGAGCCTAATTCCCGAACATTGAATTTGTTGTTACTTTCCGGGTTTTTCTTTACTTCTCGCAACCGGGCATTTCTTTTTCGTTCTGCATCACACAAGAGCTATACGGCGCCAGATGACAGCACCCTCTTGTGCATTGTTGAATTTTAATGAACTTGATTGAAATCTATTTATTGGTTAAATGAAATTTATCTAAAACGCATATTTTTATTTGTTAGTTTCTTCGACAGTATTCTGACTTAAACTAAAATGGATTGTGGTAATTCTTTCTACATAGGATTTGGTGAAGAGATATTCAGAATTTATCAACTTCCCCATTTATATCTGGGGAAGCAAAGAGATTGACGTGGACGTTCCTGCAGATGAGGATGAATCCAATGATGAAGAAGCACCACGTATGTATTGTCTTGGATGTCGGATATGCTTATATAACTACCTTTGTGGTGGCAAAAAAACTGTCAATTTGTCATGGTGTCAGTCTTTCTGATTACGTTTTCTGTCTTGAAAAACAGCTGAAAGCTCTTCTGAAGAAGGGGAAGATGATGCAGAAAAGAGCGAAGATGATGATGCTGAGAAGTCGAAGACAAAGAAAGTCAAAGAAACAATTTATGAATGGGAGCTTTTGAATGATGTGAAAGCCATATGGCTGCGGAGTCCCAAAGAAGTGACAGAGGAAGAGTATACTAAATTCTACCACTCTCTTGCTAAGGTAGTTGTCCAAAATTCTATCAGTGAAAAAATACTAAAGCACCTTAATCTGTAAAATTTGCGTTCCAAATCTAATGAAGTTAACATTAAATGGCAGGATTTTAGTGATGACAAGCCTATGTCATGGAGTCACTTTAATGCAGAAGGTGATGTTGAGTTCAAAGCTGTTCTGTTTGTACCTCCTAAGGCTCCTCATGATCTCTACGAGAGCTACTATAACAGCAAAAAATCCAACTTGAAGCTGTATGTTCGAAGGGTTTTCATCTCAGACGAGTTTGATGAGCTCCTGCCGAAGTATTTGAACTTTTTGCTGGTAAATGAGTGGTCGAGTTATTCAACAGAAAGACGTTCGACTTGAATAGTAGATTTTTTTCTCAAAATTTTCTCTCTGCAGGGTCTTGTTGATTCTGACACTTTACCCCTCAACGTTTCACGAGAAATGCTCCAACAACACAGCAGCCTGAAGACAATTAAGAAGAAACTCATTCGCAAGGCCCTTGATATGATCCGTAAAATTGCTGAAGAGGATCCTGATGAGTTCAGTGACAAGGAGAAGAAAGGTTTACCTAAAGAACTTGATTATTGTGATGCTGTTAAGACGTGATAATTTTCTTCCATGTTTCATTTGATTAACTTTAACCCTTCATTAACAAGCAGCTGCAGAGAAGAGTAGTGATGATGATGAGAAGAAAGGCCAGTACAGTCGATTCTGGAATGAGTTTGGCAGATCAATTAAACTTGGTATTATTGAGGACGCGACTAACAGAAACCGTCTAGCAAAACTTCTCCGATTCGAGAGGTATCTTGCGTTTGTTTCCGTTTCAGTTTCGTTTCTGGGTTGCTTTATTCTGCCTCATTGATGCTTCTCTGTCCCCCTGAGATAATAACCTTAAACGAACTCTCGTGCAGCTCCAAGTCGGATGGCAAATTGACTTCACTGGATCAGTATATTTCAAGAATGAAATCAGGACAAAAGGATATCTTTTACATTACTGGCTCAAGCAAGGAACAGTTGGAGAAATCCCCATTCCTTGAGCGTCTTAAGAAGAAGAACTATGAGGTGAATTTTAATTGGGAGTTTTTTTTTTCTTTTTGCCATCCATTCATCCCTTTCCTCTCATATCTAAAATATTTCTTCTCCTAACAGGTTATCTTTTTCACGGATCCGGTTGATGAGTACTTGATGCAATATCTCATGGACTACGAAGACAAAAAATTTCAAAATGTATCGAAGGAGGGTCTCAAACTAGGCAAAGACTCGAAGGATAAGGAACTCAAGGAGTCCTTCAAGGATCTTACTAAATGGTGGAAGACCGCCCTTTCTTTCGACAATGTTGATGATGTCAAAGTTTCGAATCGTTTGGATAACACACCTTGTGTGGTTGTGACATCGAAGTATGGATGGAGTGCTAATATGGAAAGGATCATGCAGTCTCAGACCCTATCAGATGCTAGCAAACAAGCATATATGCGCGGTAAGAGAGTGCTTGAGATCAACCCAAGGCACCCGATCATCAAGGATCTTCGGGAGAGAATAGTCAAGGATTCGGAGGTATGTTATGTTATGACAATCTGTTCTAACATGTTTATTTATGTTTTTAACACTTTTCTTTTATCACATTCTCCAATGTGGTTGCTTTGCTTCATCTAAACAACAGGATGAGGGCGCAAAGCATGCTGCAAAACTGATGTACCAGACAGCTCTTCTGGAAAGTGGGTTTATTCTCAGTGATCCCAAGGATTTTGCCTCCCAAATCTATGACACGGTGAAGACTAGCTTAAACATCAGTCCCGACGCAACCGTTGAAGAGGAAGATGAAGCAGAAGTCGTCGAGACTGGATCGAAGGCTGCAGAAGCTGAAGATACTATCAGGTCGGAAACAGCCGATGAGGGTGCAAAGGATGAGCTGTAGTAGATTATATAACAGGAAGGGAGAGGTGGTTTTTATATCTGGATATCATCCATCACCAGTCACCAGCATTAGAGCTCTCTGCTAATTCCTCCTCCTAACATCATCAGGTTTTTGGAAACAACTTTGGTTCTCTTCTTTCTTCTCCGGTTGTTTGATATGAACAAATTTTGAAATCATGTTTTTTTAGGCTTAATCATCCGTAGGATTAGGTTTTCTCTTCTGCTCTTATCCAATAATAATAGCCCATTCAGTGAATGCCATTCCCTCCTCCCTCTTGAATTTTGTATAAACAAACATCTAAGGCTGCAAAGGAATGAATGAATGAATGATTTAAACCAAAATGAAAGCATGATATTATTCAATCTTTGTTTTTTGACCAAATGAAAATAAACCAAACCATATCAACATTTCATTAAAACAAAAATCACCTACTTCAATTTAGCCTACAAAGGAGAAAGGTTTTCAAGCAACAAAGAAATACAATGAGAAGAGTGGCTGCTACTAGCTGCCCGCCTATGATGAAGTTCTCCATTGTAGCTCGATCTGGATCCGCCCGTTCTTCGAGTCGATCAGATGATATTTCGCATTAATCCTCTTGTTTGAGACAACATCAGCCAAGTTTATGTCCACATACCCCAAAGTTTCCTGTTCACATTACGTTTCAAATTTCAGAATATGATCCCGAGCTTCATACGATCCGATCCCAAGCTTAAAATATTATACATACCTTGGGGTGAAGCAGGCCTATCCTTGAAGACGCACTCAGTACTTCCACATGAATCCGATCGTTCACCGGTGGCTCCTCGAGCATAAACTGGAACTCCTCATCCCATCTTGGATCCCGATTCTTCTTAACATGCTGCATTGCATACATGCCAAATGGAGTTCAAAGTTAATGAACCCGGCATATAATCCGTGACTGCGAGAGTTCATTTTTGCACGTTATACTAAAACGTTACCTTAGTTCGTTTCTCCTCTCCTCTGAAAAGTAAACGAACGTAGGGGTTCGTATGATGCTTCCCTTCCACATCTTCAGCTTGATGGATTATGACAGCAAGCAGGCCTCCGCCATCGGGCGTTCCATCGGGAGCCTTTTGTACTGCCGCTGCACCATCACCATCATCTTTCGGAGCTTCGTCGTCCTTGAAAGGTTTGTACAACAATTCCACGACAAGCTGCCCTCTCGACTTCTCATTTTGTGTATCGTTAGGATCCATATTTTTCAACACTTCAAGAGTCAATTCCTTGGACTCCTCAGGTGTAAGTTCTTTCAGTGGAACAACATTCATTCCCATCTTATCATGCTTCCCAACCTAAGAACAATACAAGACAACCTCTGTAATGAAGATTCTAAACGTTCCTCGATGAGATTATTACGAAAATACCTGCTCCCAATCGTAAAGAATCAGTTCCAAAGCTTGAGACTCGGGATCTTTCACGACAAAAGTAAACTCCTCGTTCCAAACCGGGTTCAAATTCGTGTGTTTCACAGTCGTTTTCTTAGACGGAAGCTTGTCTTCAGTGAGCTTCAGTTTTAGATATGGATCTGAAGCCCCAAATAGATCCTTCTTTTTCAGCTTCATTGCTTTCAAAACCTTCACATGAAGGATGCCAACAGGTTTCTTCATGGCTCTGACAAAGATTACCCGAATCAAGAAACGAAACGCTTCAACATAATCATAATATAAAACGACACGAACAGAACTCACTTCGCAGGATCCATTATCGGTACTTCGAGGGTCTTCGGCCATAGATACATATTGGCAACTTGATCTTTTATGAGTTCCTGCCATGGATGACGAGGAAGAAATTTCACGAGTTCATTATCTATGTTGACAATGTCGGTAAAGATAACATGATATAGAATAATTCGTACCTGAACAAACCTATACAGCCCCGGGATGGCCATCGCATCTGCACCGAGCAATTTCAGTCCAAAATCGACATGGGGCTGCAGAATCCGACAAAATTTAATATATAACTCAAAATTTATTTAAGTATATACGAGTTAACCAGTTACAGCACCTTCTCCATGAGAGAGACAAATATTTTGGCGAAGCAAGGAAACGTCGGGACCAAAGGCTTCAGGGTTATACGCGGAATAGCGAACACTTGCAAATCGACCACCTGAAAGGCAAGAGAAAGTCAGATATTTCTACACTCGCTCGTTGTATTGATACATATTCATAGTCTGCATATCGAAATCGATATTAGTGCATATAGTCGCGCACAACCTGAACAGTCGCTTTCAATCCGAATGCTTTAACTGAAACGGTAACATTCGGATTTCCCGCCCACTTCATGCATGGCTCCATGATCAACTCTTTATCATCGGTCGTATAAACTTTCATTCCTGGTTTGTAAATTCATCAACGAGTGAGATTCTTCGTCTAGCTCCCAAAAACGGAGTAACGAAGGGATGTTCAGCACAGGTAACAACAATATACTACCATCTCATGAACAGCCATTTGATCAGGGGCAAAGCAGATATTGTCCATTTTGGTCTTTTCCTTTCGGGTTTGTTTTTAAAACGTGTCTACTAGGGAGAGGTTTCCACACCTTCATAACGAATGCTTCATTCTCCTCCCCAAAAGATGTGGGATCTCACAATCCACCCGTCTTTAGGGCCTAGCGTCCTCGCTGGCACTCATTCCCTTATATAAGGGTGTGGAAACCTCTTCCTATAAGACGCGTTTTCCTTGAGGGAAAACCTGAAAGGGAAAGCCCAAAGAGGATAATATCTTATAGCGGTGGGCAAGGGCTGTTACAGGGAGGAGTGTACCTTGAAGAGTGGGTGGTAAGCAGCCCAATGTAAGCGTGTCGAATTCAACAGCCTCGATTTTGTATTTTGGAATTTGCTCTGCAATAATAGGCTTTGCTATGTTCTTCACTGTCTTACAAATGGCCTAAGAAAGACAGCAAGAAAAGAAGAGGGTATGCATAAAAGGTATCATCGCCCAAACACCTCAGCAAACGAGTATCAATTTTCAATTGTAAAGCACAAACCTTGTCCAAGTAAGGCCACATAAGTTCAAGGAATTTGTTGAGCCAATCAATCTACAAGAAACAAGAAAGGTACAATGAAAACTGTTACTAAACAATGAATCACAAGCAATCACATCCTAACAACACAAAACGGTAACGGTAACATACACGATCGTAATCAGGATTTTTCACCCACAGAGGTATTTCCGGCATCATCCGCAACAACGAGCTCGTATCTTGCTCAACCAAAGGGCGAATAACAGGATCCTGAAACAATAAATTTCAACACACATCAACACGAGCCAATCGACAACAAAGAACGGGAAGAACTCGACTGGTTAATACTCGAAACAAATCTCCCAACAGTTAGTCCCTGAATGCATTCATAAACAAGGCCACATAATTCAGATCAGGGCATATATTACAACTACTAAGCCTCCATTTGCCTAAGAAAAAGAAACAGAACCAAAAGGAAACTTGATTGGTAGCAATTCAGAGGCAAATACTGTTAATGTCTTCCTCTAAGTTAAGGGGAAAATGGGGTGACATCTAAATGAAATCCTAAGAGACATACAAAAAAACCCACGAAAATAGGGACAACAGTACTTAGGTCTGTAGTGTCTTCATCAGTACAAGCAAGCAAAACCCCCAAAACTTGTGAAATTGAGGGAACTAAAGTGACTAACAGGAAAAACCCCAAACGAGCTGGGAATTACCACTCAACATTTTCAGAAAACACTGTCGATTCAAGCAATTAGAACAATAATCCAACACAGAGCAGATAGTGACAGTGATGATCCGTAGAAGAAACAGAACATTTTCCAGAAACAGACAGACCAAACACCAAAATAAGTGGAACAAGAAACAAACCTTGACATCCGACGGCTGAAAATAGATGAACATGTAATATCCAATCGCAATCCCAATCGAAGTTCCCAAGCCAAATCCGAAGAAACCCAGTATACTACTAAGCAAACCCATCTAAAATCCGTTCTCGAACAGACCCAAATCCCCAAAAGTCAAAAGAAACCGAAGAGGGAAAGATGAACAGAAGGAAAAAGAAAGAACCCTCTTATGAATACGCCCTTTTCTCCATTAAATCGCAGAGAAAACGAAGAGAAAGAGGCGATTAATTCAGTTTCCCAAAAGAGGAATTGGCGATCTGTTTGAAGCAAAGGATAAGATTGAAGGGGAAATGAAGAATCGGGAGTAGGAAAGGAGCGTTTATTCGTTTTAGGGTAGCAGAATCAAAGCATTTTGTTCACCATTGGCAATGGATCGAAGGAAACGGGGTTGAATTGAGGCAGGGAAGAGGCGCGTAAGGGGAGTGTCGGTAATCAGGTCAAAAGGGGTTCGAAGAGGAGTGAGGATGAAAGGAAATATCTGCTTTTTGGGTTTTGTAACTGATGAAGATGAACCGAATCCCGTTTCTTTCTGTTACAGCTCGCTCCAGTGTTAATGATATTCATGATTTTTTTTTTTTTTTTTTTTTTTTTTTTTTTTTTTTTTTTTTTTTTTTTTTGGAGAGAAAGTAAATGTTCTTGGTTTGGTAGCTTCCCTTTCACTCCCAAAGAAAGGGAAGGGAAAAATAAATAAATAAATAAATAATCCTTTTTTTCTTGTTTAGTTGACTCTTTGTCTTTATAAGGGTATTAAAGTCATGTTTTATACTGAGATTTGAATTTCGAACAAAACGAGCCTATTGTAGTGTACGTACGTACTTAAAACCGAAATCCCAATTGAGTGATTGAAGCATGCACGTGAAAAAACTTAGTTACAGTCAATACTTTTCGACACTGTTGTAAGAAATGTTCAAATTCGATGGTTTTAACACGTATAATTGGCAACCAACACCTAAAAATTGTTCCACTCCCGGCCAATTTTCGTTCGATCGACATCAAAATTCCATTGTCGGCTTTCTGTTTGCGTTTAATGACAGTTTCAAAAACGAGTGTCAAACAAAAAAATTATGAAAGTTCGTAGATCTTGCAAAATAAGAGTAGTGCCTAGTTACTTGATATGTATATTTATTTTATCATACACGAGCTAAACATTCATAATCGTTCCTAATCATTTATGAATTTTTTAAATTCATCCTTAATATTTTAAAATTTTCAATTCTACCCTTAATTTAAAATAATAAATTGGTATTTGTATTAATAAAGCGTTTAAAAATATAAATTAATTTATTAATTTAAGGGTGGTTTTTACCCCAATTTAATACATAAATGTTAAATTTGAGAATTTTAAAACATTAATAATAAAATCTTTTATGATTAAAATTAAAAAAATATAGATATCATAAAAGAAAATTAAAAAGAAAACTAAAGAATTTCTTAATAAATCAGTAATTAAATAATTAAACAAATTATATAATGTCTTCTTCCCTACCACAATCAAACCATGTTAGGACACGTGGACGATAGTTTATATATTTTGACATTTACTATGGATGATCTTATTTTAAATAATTAAAAATATCTTCCTTCTTTTTAAAATAAATTAATATCTGATAAAAGTATGGGTAGTTTATGATTCATATTGATCATAAACGTTGACGACACGTCGTGTGGTGGACATTCAAATTACGATTTTGTCCGAATCTATAATCTTCTTGCCGACAAGTAGAATGGACGAGATTAATAATTTGTGACTATAATATAAATAATGATATTTTTTGGGCCACACAGTTATTAACGAAAAATATGTCATTTTCTTTTAACGTTTTTTTTTTAATCTTAAAAAGGTTAAATATGTAATTTTATGACTTCTGGTGGTTGTTTTATTTTTCCATCAATTTTTAGGAAATATCAGAGGTTAAAAAACATCCAATTTTTTTTATTATTAATTTTTTCCCTTTCTAATTGACCTCTTATATTAATTAATGGATGGGTTTGAATATTAGTTTTTTATTTTGTTTTTTTTTAGTTTATAATGAGTGAAATTACGGAAATGCCCTTGAGTTCACTTTTTGTACCTATTTTTCTCTCCCAATTTACTTTTTAATTTTTTTTTTCCAAACTCATAATTTATGCTTTATTTATTTATTTTAATAATTATTATAGCTTACAAAATGAATCAAAGTAAGGGTGTCACGTCATAATTACTATATTTCTTTTATTCTAGTAATGTAGATCCTATTTTAGTCTGTTAAAAAAAAATGATAATGATAATTAATAAAAATGGATTGAATTTAAAAATTAAGACAATAATAATAATAAAGACAATTAAGATTATCCCTTTTGGATAACAAGGAATTTAATTGTGGGCCAGAGGGGAAAATAAAAATAAAAATAAAATAAAAAAAGCATTTGATTTTGGATGGGAAAATAAGAAAAAGGAAATAAAAAAGCAGAAGTAATAGTGTCTGCCACGTGTGAGTGATGGAGTGGTCACCATCTGCTTCAGCCACTTTGAGTTGGAATTTTGGAAGTATGCTCCATTTTTAAAGGTTCCATAATTAGCAATTATTTGCTTTATGGGCTACATTACAAATGCATAGTGGGCCTGGGCCCACTCCACTTCAGCCCAACAAAGTTACACTCCAAAGTTGGTGATCTTCTTTAGGGAGCGCGTGACTCTCACGTGTCCATAAAAACAAATATATGGGTAATAATAAAAAATAAAAAAGAGAAATAGAAACTATTAATTGAAACGATGGGACCCACCGCCCTTGCATATGCTAATAAAGTAAACATTCCTACGTGGCAACCGTCCTGGTCCTCTCGAGTACTCGAGAAATTATTCGAGGACAGTATGCTAATAAAAGCTTACATATCAATGTATCGGTTACCTTAGCGACTTTGTTACACGACGCTCGTTAAATTGTTCAACAAAGATCGTAGGTTGACGAACCGAATATTTTATCGATACATATTGAATCAAATTCAAGGACGTGGCTTATTAGGTATTATTTATAGCATCCTTCATGCATAAGAAAGGTGATCAAAGTAGGTTGAATTAGTCATCACTAAAGCAAGCTCTATTTTTTGTGATAAGAAATTGAATAATTTATTACTTTTTCTTATTTTTCTTTACCTATTATAAAATACTTTTAACGCCAACCACTCTAATAGTAAAGTTTCAAAACTTTTAAATTTACTAATTTTTTCGTTATTTTTTAATTATATTAAAAAAATATTTCCATTCTCGTAGAATCGTTTGCTACATTATTTTTAATTTTTTTCTAGGTCAAAACTCGAAGCTCGATCATTTGTCTTACTTTTAATTTTTTTTTTTTTTTTTGGTTTGGAATTTTCAAATTTCAAAGAAATTTAATTTTATATTTTATGCCCGGTAAATCTATAAATTTTAAAAATGGTAAAATTAAAAAGGGTAAATTTATAATTTTAAAATTAGTTGGATAAAAAAAAAAAGTTGAAATTAGGTTTTACTTTTAACTAAAATTTTTATGTAAAATAGGAAAAAGAACTTGTAAAATGACCAAAAAGGAAATAGAAAAGGAGAAGGATAGTTTTTTTTTAAAGGCTAATTCGGAGAATGGAAATATTAAAATAAATATAAAAGAAAACTAATTTAAAGAAAATATATGGGTCCCACCATGTCGTACAAAATACGTATGCAAAAAAAAAAAATTGAGAAACCGAGGATGCTGAAGATGAAATCAACGGCCAGATTGGGTCCAACGGCTATAACCAACGGCCATAATCAAACGGACGGTAACCGACCTAGACGGTGGCTCTGCAAATCCTGTCGTTAATTCCCCATTTTCCAATGGTAAATAAAGAACTAAAAATATCTCCAAATTAATATAATTAAAAAAAAGTAGCCGTTGCCGTCCAAGAAACATCAAAGCTCTATAAAGAGATGAATCTGAAGCAAATAAACCATTAAATCTTCTCTAACAAAGACTCCCCAAAATCCTCTGTAAATGGGTTGCTGAAAATCCCATAATATCCATTCAAATATATGTTTTTTTAACTTTTTCGATTCTGGGTTGTATTTTTTTTTTATGTTTTAAAAGAAATCCCAGTTTTTGTTTGTTCAAATCCATACGAATTTCTTCACAAAATTCAATCTTTTTGCGACTTTGTTGTACATTTCAGAAGTTATAATTCAATTGGTACTCTGTTTTTTTTTTTTTTTTTTGTGTAACTGTAGCTTGTTGATCTTGTGTATTTGATAGAGTTTTGAATTTTTCAGGTTCAGATCTTTGAGAAATGCAGTAATGGAGGCAGTTTTGATTCCATTTTCTGCTGAGAGATCTCGCAGTTTAAAATCCCGTAATTTTTCTCCGGCCACCGTCCACGACGGTGTTCTCAACATCCCTCCGCCGGCCGTCCCAAATTATAGTCACCGCCACCACCAGCAACCGCCTCTCCTCCCTCTTCCCGGCCGTCCGTTTCCCCCAACGGCAGTCGGGGTCCCGCCGTCGTGCCGCCCAAAGGGTACGAAATCCAGAGATCAGTCTCTTACCCCAAAGAAATCAAAACCAATTAAACGAAGTAGAGGGCCTCCGGCGTTGAAATCGACGGCGGAGTTTATGATCGTTGATTCCACGAATCGACTGGGGCCGGAGCCGAGCCACGTACCTAAAGATTTATGGAGAGTTTTAGGATTACGGTCGTCGGCGCCGCCGAGAGAAGGTGGCCGGAGTTTTGAGACAGAATTTTCGGGGTCAGCATTTGGCGTTTCGCCGCCGCCGAGTAGCGTTCCACTTCCGAAATTCACTCTGAGGCGGGAGGTGAGTTGTAATGTGGAGGCCGCCGGAGTGGATGCCGGAGCAACCGACAACCTCAGGCGATTATTGCGCCTCCGATGAAGAATTGTAGTATACTTTGTGGTTTGGTTTAACTTTCCGGCTAATTTTTGTTCCTGTTTTTGCAAGGGTTTGATCACCTCCTTGGTTTTTATGAAAATGGAGGTGCACAATCCAAATCCTGAAATCTCCGCCTGCATTTTTTGGTCTAAGGAGATTGCTTTATGTTTATTATAGCAATTAGGGTTTGTGTAAGTCCAATAAAGAAGGTAGTACATTAGTTTGCTTTACGTTTATATATATATTTTATATTTTGTTAATTAGCTAATTTAGATCGACTCTGACACTACAATAAATAACCTCCCTTTATTCACCCTCAAACTCTTAATTTGAGGCCCGACTCCTTTAGAGCACTTGAACAACCCTTATATGACAATATCTCGTCAAAATCCATCCACAAAGATGCAAAAAGGGATTTGTAATCAGGGTCCAAGCAACGAGGACTTTTATCGAAGGGTTGAAGGAAGTTGAGCAAACGCAAAGGATACTTGCACGGACATTCAAGGAAGGAGAGACCCTTTAAAACTTCGAACAAGTAGACCTTCAAAGCTTCGAATTTTCTCAGCTTCCTCAAATACCATAGTAATGTTGATTCATAAAAATCTCAACTTATTTGGGTAAATTTAGCATCAACCAACGCAAAAAAGAAAAAACACCAAAAAAAAAACAAAAAAAAAACGGTTAAGCATACTTGTTAAACAGAAAACTAAAAAAAAATTACACTTCATCTAGAGCAAGATAGTCGTAATGAACAACGTTTAAGCTTTTGGAATGCGTTGGAGCTATCCTAACTAGACTTTGCTGCCCCCTAAAGAATAAAAGACTAACTTGGTGTGAAGCATACATATTTTATAATGTTATGTGGAGGATCAATTCTCTCTGGTCTGATGATGGCACTTGGTGCAGGTATAAAAGGTGGTCTGCCCTTCATCAGCCGATCTCATCTGCATTTTTATTGAAACCACACTCAAACTTGGGACTCTTTCTAATGGGAATAAAAGAGAAAAGCCTAAAGGGCGTGGGCTCATGAGTTGGTATGAAAAGTACCTGTCTGCTCTCAAACCAAGCTTCATCATTCCCACATTTCTCACATCTCCTCCTTTCCTGTCAAACATGACAGCTTCATATTAGTGCCTACTACTTACACGTTTCAAGCAGAATACTTATACCATACACTTCTTTTCTCCTACTACCTTTGATAGCTGCATTTTCTCTTCATCAATCAATGAAATTCCCAACTGCTTTCTAATTTCCTGCGAATCGTCACACGAAGATTTCAAAAACTAAATCATTTCTTGGATGTCTGGCAATCAAATAGAAGGGGTCTTATCAAGATTAGATCATATGAAGTTTTTCTTATACTAAAACTTTTCACCGCTTGAGGATATTGACCCAATATGAATTTCAGGGGTTAGGTAGGCTTATTGATTTGCCGAGCGTAGAGAATCATCATATAGGTAAATTCATCCAGAAACAATCTTAGCAAATTTTCAGAGTATCCTAAAGTTCAAAAGCATAGGAATGACATGTTGCTGGGATGTCTTAGAGCTAGAAATAGAACAAGCATGGGGATGATAATGTTTATGCTTCAAAAGGCATACCTCAGCAGTAACTGTGTAACTTATTTCTCTGCCGATGATCCCTGAAATAAGCCGCACAACACGCAGGTTAGAGATTTTTACTAAAAGAGTGCATGAAATATTATAAGAATAGCTTCTCAACTGCATTTGCACAACTTCGATGCCTCAAATCATGAAAAGAAAGATGGGGACTCCAATACTTTCAATTTCAATATGCAAAGATGATAAGATGCATAGTTCTTTCAACAAAACCATTAAAAATAAAGCAAAGCCCACAAATTCTAAAATGATTTGACATATATCCTTCAGAAAACCAACTTCAAGATGCATAGAATAATATTCAGGGAAATCATGATGGCACTTGGGCCCTTGCATAAGACTAACCAGCCTGAGAATTGTAACGAATTCTATATTTTTCAGTCTCTGGTTAGCTGTTAGTACTTAGGATTTGGTTCCACAGACATTGTTATAGCTATCTCACTTTCTTCATGTAATTGTGATCAAGAAATCGATTTCATTTTAAAGAACTCTCAGAGAACTCAGGTAATTGTAATTACAATTTCTTCATGTAATTGTAAGCTAGCTCAGGTATGAGAAGGCAGAGGCTCCATCTGCCAAATCTAAAGAAACATTTTTCACACGCAGCCTTCATTGTTATTAGTCTATTACTACATTTGGTTTGAAATCAAATCAAAATTTCGAAGGTCCATCTTGCTAGTTCGAAGAACAAGCTTTCAAAATCATGATCAACTCAGCCTATTCATTCACCTACACCAGTCAGCTTCCTTATGAATTTGAGGGCTCCAATTGTCAGAACCCCAGCAGTCTACCACACTAAGTCTTTCTGAGAGGACCACACAATCTTCCACGGTCTGTGTTGGAATTCTATCTCTACAGCCGAATAACAAATGCCGCAGGCTTTTATTTAGCATGAAGTTCCAAGGGCTATTTCTAGTCTTAGTCAAGGCCAAGCTACGGGTCCAGATGGTTTTTCCATAGTTCTTCACGAAAACTTGGGATATTCTCTCTCTCGAGCATGATACCATGTCAACAATCTAGGCTTCTCGAAGAAAGGAATTCTTGGTGTGAATATAACCGAGACTTATAACCTTTATGGCAAAGGAGAATGAAGCCAAGGAAGTGTAAGACAATATGACCCATAATCCTCCCTAACTATCGTCCCTTATAAAATTCTTGATAAACGTTTGTGAGCAGAATCAAAATTATACTACCAAAATCATCTTAAATTTAAGTTGATAGATTAAAGAAAAACCAATCTGCACAACTCAGTTCTAGTAAAAAGATTAAAAAGAAAAATAGAAACTTGAGATAGAAAATGAAAAAATAAATCATGCTTTTCACATTTTTAGCTACATAAACATGAAGAAAAAATGAACTAGACTACAAATTAAGCACTCATTCATATAAGTAATGTGTGCTCGAATGTTTAAATTACCCAAAATGAAAAACTAAAAGTGAATAAGATTAACTCCGATGTGTATGTTCACCTTTTGCACTTCGCCTAGACTTGCACAAAGGACACTCGACATATTTCGTTGAGCTGAATGACAACATGGTTCCACACAAGTTGCAAAACAAGAAGTCATGTCCACGAGAATAAGCCATAAATGGCCTTGCTCCTTCCCCAAGCGCTTCTGACAAACAATGTCCATAAAAAAAATAATTAGAACAATTAAAAGAAGTTCAATTACAACAAATAAGAGACCAAAACAAGGCTAAAATTCTAAACGAAAAAGAATATAGAAAGAAAAATTGCAGCCGAAACCACAAGGGGGCTCCTCATAAGAATTAGTAAGCACAATTTAATCAAGCCCAAGAAAGAGCTTCCCCAGATATATTGTCGAAAAGCGGCGAGCTACCAGTAGAAGAAAACGGTGGATAGCCAAAGATAGCTGAGCTGGGCGGACATATGGATAAACAATCGACCTTCAAGAAAACTTGCTAAAGCAGAACGAAAACAATATGGTTTTGGAAGCTTAAACCCTCCGGAAACTGCACTGGAAATTGGTTTGGTTGGATTCACCCATTCAACTCTGGGACCGAACCGAATGTGTGGAGACCTACCGAACCGCGCGAAAATACGAACCAAACTCCCAGACTCCCAATCAAAATTTCGATTTCATTAAAAAATTATCGCAACCAATTTCAGTCGACATTGATAGAAGAGAAACAACGAAGATGGTTTACTATTTACCTAGAGACGACTTGTCAGGACGAGATTTAGATAACAGCTACAACGAACGGCGGCGGAGGCAGCGGCAGCGGCGGTGAGTGACGAGCCGGCAAGAAAAAACGATGGGTCTGAAAATCAGAGTCCCCGGGAAGAGAAGGCGCCAAGTAGGGTTTAGCATTCGTTTTGTTTTTTATTTTTTCTTCATAAAACAGAGTTTTACGTTATTTTCGAAAATGCCATTATTGGGCCGGGCCTATTGGAACCACTTGCACTTGATTATTTCCCTTCGTATTTCCATAAAATATTTTTCCAATATATTATGTAATTAATATAATACTATTATTTTTTTTAATGAAACATAATTAATTATAATAGTTACGTTTATTTGTGTTTGGCTGTACATGGAGAACAAAAATTCCCCAAACTATTTAAAGAGCGAATCTAAAGACTCAAAATAAAAACAAATAAATAAATAGACACAAACAAAAATGAAAATGAAAATAATAATAATATTTATTGGCACGTGGGGAGGATCCCGAATTCCGAAGCGCCGTTTGTGAGTCACGTGAGTGGTTCCGCGCAATCAGCGCGATTCAATTTGCTGACTCATTCCCTTTCCTTTTGTCCTTTTCTGTATTTTCACATGATACCTTATTTTCCTTATCCCTTTACCTTCCTATAATATTCAATTACAGTTTTAATTTCCATTAAAATTTCTGAGGAGAATATTTAAATATCTATTTTGCCTTTCGTTTATTAATATATACATATTTTACTTTCAACTTTAATAATTGATTATTAATACTACATTTTAAAATAAAAATTATTTTATGAATTATGATATTATCCATTTTGATTCGTTACGTATTACCATCCCTCATGGGTTTAAAACACGTTTGTTAGAGAGATATTTTCACTAATTCGTTTCCCTCCAAACCAACATAGAATCTTATTAATGATAGATGTATGAGTTCAACGACATCTTGGTCCATGATATCTCGTAAGAATTAACCTATCAAATATTAAAATATTGTATAAAAACTCAAATTAGTAAATCCAAACTATGAGGATAAAAAGTTTATTTTTTATTTTTTTATTTTTTTTCAACATTAATTAAAATACTTTGTTGTTTATTTCTCAGTTAATTTTCTATTTTATTTTGATATACATTGTTTTTAAAACATATTTTAGTAAATAAATTGAAGACTAGTTTTTTTTTTAATCGGTTAATAATTTAAGAAATAGAGAAAAATGAACCAAACAAATTTATTATAGGCGGGTTTAACTCCAAGATAATTTTAATTATTTAGAGGAAGAATTAATATATATATATATATATATATAGCGGGTTTAACTTTAAGATAATTTTAATTATTGAGAGGAAGAATTTATATATTTATATATATATGTAATTTTTTTTTTTATTTTGTATGAAAAAAATGTTAATAATTCGTTTTCGAATGGATTTAAAAAATAAAATGTTTATTTATATCAAGAAACGCACGTCCATTCTACCACCTTATGCTGGCCACGATCCATTCATTTTTCAATAATGATAATAATTAAATAAAAACAAGTAAACATAATTAAATAATAATTTTAAAATTTTAAATTAAGAACATTAAACATTTTTTAACATCATATTTTTAAAATGGCTATATTTTTTATTATTTTTATCCTTACTTTTATTATATATAACAAATTAAATGAATAGATTCTGCTGTGCCGTTATGTAACGAAAAGGATTAGAGGTTGAAGTGGAATGGGAGAATTCCCACAAGCACTAGTAGGCGGACTATGAGCGATGTGGGATATAGACATTAGAACAATAGGGGTCTCGTGAAAAATCCATATATGGGACGGGGTAAAGAGTCGAGCTGCTATTGTCTTTCGGTATTATAAAAATTAAAAAGTAAAATAAAAAAATTCGAAAATTGCAGGGATTTATTTTTAGGAATCATATTATTTTTGTGAGTGGAGTAAATAATATATAATTAAGAGAGAGAGAGAGAGAGAGAGAGAGAGAGAGAGAGAGAGAGAGAGAGAGAGAGAAAGTGGGTTATTTGTGGTAGAGGGGAAGGGATTGGTGGCAGAAGGTGGGGAAGGCGGGCGAGCGCTTCAACCGCATTTCATTTCTTTCAAAATAACCCCATTTTCCTCCCATCTTTCTCTCTTTCTCTCTGCTCCTGCAATTTGGGATCTCTCCACTCTGCATTCCCCATTTTCCTCCCTTTTCAAGAATTCAGATCCTCCACTCTCTTGATTCCTCTCTATCTTCAATATCCTCGATGGATTGCTGTTGATTTTCTGATTTTCTCTTTGTTTTTGCTGGCCCTGATGAACGATCGATTCTGAGGGAGGAGAGCAAGGGAACGCCCACTTCGAGCGAGGCATTGTAGTTTTCGTGTTTCGGATCTGGTGCTTCGAGATGAGTGCGTCCAGGTTTATAAAGTGCGTAACGGTTGGTGATGGTGCCGTGGGTAAAACCTGTATGTTGATTTCGTATACGAGCAACACTTTCCCCACGGTGAGTTTCTTTGTTTCTTTCTTTTCGTTTGTTCTGTTTTCCTGCAATTTTGAGGTCTGGAGTGTGTTCTGATTTTCGATAAGATCATTCTTATTCGTCGCTTGCTTGTTGTTAGAAGGTTTTATTGGATCTTGTGGAATAACCATGGGAAGAAGGAAATAATGACGGTTTTCTATTTTGTAGGATATTTAAGAGGGAAATGTTCTTGATTATTCCTTTAGCCAAGCCTATTTCGTTGCCTTTTTTAGTTTTTCATGTCATGATTTCAATGGGAGCAAAAAGAAGATTAAATTTCTAGATTTCTTTTTCTCGAAGACTGTTGTTTCGTGTATATTATTGTTTTAAAGCATTTAAGCGAGCTTGGATGATGATGATACATTATATTACTCGAATAATTCGTATCTGAAAACTGTTTGGTGTGTTCTAAACCTTGATTGGAGCTTGTGGGGTTGAATTTCTGCCCGAAATGCGCGTTTTTGGATAACAGTGCACCCGTTAACGCTTAATTTGCAGGACTACGTGCCTACCGTTTTTGACAATTTCAGTGCCAATGTGGTGGTTGATGGGAACACGGTCAACCTAGGATTATGGGATACTGCTGGTAACCACATGATGAGAGTTCTAATTTCTCCGCCCAATAGGCAATTTGATCATTTTATTTAATGTTTAGAAGGGATTTGAAGTTACTGTTTTGAACAGGTCAAGAGGATTACAATAGATTAAGACCACTGAGCTATCGAGGTGCTGATGTTTTTATTCTTGCTTTCTCTCTCATAAGCAAGGCCAGCTATGAAAATGTTGCCAAGAAGGTAGCAAGCTGTAGATGAAATCGATTATTACGCTAGCTAGCTCGATATTAACTGTTTATATGCTAAAATTATACCTTTGCTGATGACCCTTTTTACATTTTCACACAGTGGATTCCTGAATTGAGACATTATGCACCTGGTGTTCCAATAGTTCTTGTTGGAACTAAACTTGGTAAGAATTATTTATTCGTTTTGAAGTCAGCTTTAGTAGAGTCATGCATCAGGTAGAGTAGTGGGTTAGTTCTGATTTTCAAGATAGTTGGTTAATCCTGATCCTCAACACCACCCTTCGTAAGTTAGCGAGAGCGTTTCCTTCACATTGCATGTCATTCCCTAGTTGAAGCAAGTTGGAAAGCCTAAAGAGCCACAGCCCAAGATGTGTGTGCATCCATCCACCACAAGTTCTTCGTGTTGAAAGAATTTTTTTTTCTCAAGAATCATATCCATCCATCCATCCAATAGGAGAATAACTGAGTTAAAACATCACTACTTTCTCTGAGAGATCATAGGTTCAAATTCTCCACCTTCCTTATGTGCGATGTGTCATCATTGTCGTCACATAAGTGTATAATCTTGCAATTCACCTCACTGCGTTTCGTTCTCGTTCTTAGATCTTCGGGATGACAAGCAGTTCTTTGTAGACCACCCTGGTGCGGTGCCCATTACCACTGTTCAGGTAAATAAATACCTTCATAACTACATTCATTAGCACATGTACGAAGGCAATTTTTGGTTGAATATGCTGTGTTATTTACTGACTGTAGGGAGAGGAGTTGACAAAAACTATCGGAGCCCCGGCATACATTGAGTGCAGTTCAAAAACCCAGCAGGCATGATGATAGATACCCATCTGTTTTTGGTTTGCGTATGAGTGCACACTTTATTGAAGGATTATGTTGGATGGTTTGTTGTTGCAGAATGTGAAAGCAGTGTTCGATGCAGCCATTAAAGTGGTGCTCCAGCCGCCCAAGTCCAAGAAGAAGAAGAAGAAGTCGCAGAGTGTCTGTTCGGTGTTATGATCGCGGAAGGAATATGCTTTTGCTCGTGCCGAAGGAACGACAACTTCATATGTACTCGCCTTTTTCTCAGCATATCTTTAATCCCATGTCATCCCAAGGATACGGCCCCAAGCTGACATTCCAAGATGCAAATAGAACAGTGATGGATGATGTTTGTTTCTTATTTTGCAATCTGTTTGTTAGCGATGACCACCAACATTGCTAACCCCCCAATTTCTCTGTTTGAATTTGTTCATGTATTAATGAGATACCTAAAAGAACTGCTCCCTGGGCATGAACATGAACATGGTTTAGTACTCCTAACATTATATTGTCTATTTCCATTCCTTTGAAAGCTTATGTGTCAAACATCAATTGAATCTTCAACTTCTCCCAATAAATTTACAGCCAATGTTCTCAAAATGCGATAAAATTATTAAAGAATTGATGGATCAGTATGTTCTTAACAAAAATGGATACGAACAAAATCTTCAAAGGCAAAAGCTGCTATATATAGAATCAACACTAAGAATTTACACTTGCATCACGTCCCCAAAGCATGCCTGTTCATTATCTCACAGGAGAGAACAAAATTGAATGTCAATTATATTTGATTCTAAAACAATTATAACGCGAAGACTATTGTTCCTACTGGCTGTACACATCTCTGCGAGTAAAGAATTCAAAATCAATATGGGATCGTGTAAGGCAATGAATAAACATCGGCAACGGCAAGATATTGTCCTCTCGGCCACAGACTGGAATTTCTACAGCTGGGAATAGAACTGAAAGCTTCATTGGTCTTTGTACTTCGTCCATCTTGCTTTTCGGTTGGGAAGAGCCATTCTTCATCATCCATTTGTTGCTCCAACTGAAGTGGAGGTGGTACCCACTTCTCAAACAAGGCCTCATAAGCAGATTCGACAGGGCTTCTGGTGCGTGGTAATGACATAACATTACCTAGTGAGCTAATTTCCTTGACAGCATGCGGAGAAGGGTCTTTGATCTTAGGTTTAGAAGAAGTGCGATCCTTGACAGCATGCGGAGGAGGGTCTTTGATCTTAGGTTTAGAAGATGTGCAATCCTTGACAGCACGGGCCGTTTCAGAATTGGCAAAGCAAGTTGATCGCCGAACAACTGAGCTGTTTTCATCACTCTTTTGATCACGAGAAATATCACGACCAGATACAGAACACGTCAGTTCACAGCCAGCTGATGAATTCTCTTGCTGGCTTAGTGAAGAAGCCAGTTTGATCCGAATTACTTTTCCTGTTTGAAATCAATAGCATATTAGAGTTTGTTCATGTGGCCAAGAGAATTTATTTCATAAGTGAGACTATTATCTATAAAGAGAACACACCAGGTTTACAACCTTCATCAGGCTGTAATGAATCATCCCGTTTCCTCTTATGGTTGATCTGAGTTCCATCAGACAAGTAGCCAGGACTATGAGGCCATACTGGTTGTCCATGCTCTTCAGTGAGACCACTCTTTTCTAATTGTTCTGCTTCAACCTTGGTTCCCTCTAGACGATCCTTGGCCTCTTTTACACATACCTTATGTTTCTGATCATTCAAGTCACGGCTACGAGAAGATTTTTCCTTACTTTCCTTACGTTCATTGCTTTTGTGTTTCCTGTCCTTGCTCTTTTCTTTCTTGTGCTTACTTTTCTCTTTCTTGCTATCAGTCTTGTGCTGTCGTCTTTCAGATTGGAGCTATAACGCACCAGAATAACCATTTAAAACAGAGTAGACGACGCAAGCAGCAAACATGTCAACCATGCCTTACTAATAAAATGCAACCCTTCAAAAGGGTAGATATTCCTATAGTAAAGGAGTATTTCATCTGGACACAGATAATCATAAATTTGTAGTAGCAAATACGTACATTCACATCGTGTATTAAAATGGCTAAGGATATCGTGGAAAAGAAGGTTGTGCGAAAAATTCCCGAAAAAGGGTTCATGTTAATTAGCTTACGGGAAACCCTAAATATCTTCCTTTTAAAATTGTAGAGAACAATCCATTTGAAAGCAAAAGGAACGGAGTTCAAGGACATTTAGAAAACCATGACGAGATCCAAAGACTGAACATCCATACAAGATCTAAGAACGAGTTGTACGACATGCAACTATAAGAAGCCCAAACCACCATCTACACACACTGAACTCCAAATAATCCAAAATCAGAATCCAATTATTAGGGTACATAAAATCTCGCACATCGCAACAAGAGAACCCAAATCCATTCTTCCCCCATCGTCGCAAAAACTAAAGGGAAAAAAAGCCGTTCCTGATTATAGATACACCCCTATCCAAAAAGTTAAAATTCCAAGAAGATTTCGCAATCAATTGGAATCCGAACACAATTGAATTCAGCATACATTATCAAAACCAACCAAATAGCTCAAACAAACCTTAATCGATTCGATCAAGGCCGCCTCGGTCCTAGCCACCTTCCTCACGTAACCAGGAGGTGGGTAAGGAAAACAACGAGACATCTGTGTCTATTATGGGGAGGGTTCGGCGAAGATTTGAAAGAAAAAGGAGAAAAGAAGTTCAGATTTGAGAAAAACAGAAGAGACAGTATTGCGATGAAAACCCTAGCGGAGAACGAAGAAGACTTCTTTGGAGCGGCAAATTGGAAAACCTAAATGACTCTAACGCGGCTTCGAAAAAGGGGAAGGCACTTTATTTATAGAGCCGATCTACCGCCTTTCGACTGTAAATACCTATTTTACCCTTCCCGTTCTTCTTGCGGAAATTTGTAGCTTTTACGCCTTTTATCATGTTTTTACTTTTAATTGATAATATTGGCATTTTTAAAAAAATAAATCTAGACCTATTTAAAATTAATAATTTCTTTTTTTGTTTCATGAGATTGAATTTTGAATTAGTGAAATTTATATTTTCAATTAATTAAAATTTTACTTTCATTAATTTAAATTTATTTTTAAAATTTTCTACTAATTTTGTAAATATTGAAATTTATCAATTAAAACAATTTATGAAATTATCAGTAAAATTGTAAAAATGATTTTTCCTTTAAAGAAAAAAGAGAATTTGAGATTTTTAAAGGGCTTTTTGGGAATACAATTGTATGGAGCGGGCTGTTTGACGCGTTCCCATACGCAAGTAGGAAAGTCCCGGAGAGATGTAATCTACTGCTTCGCGAATCATCGTAATACTGTGCACCATCCTTACATCAACGGCTGGAATCATACCAATTCCTCCTTTCCAAACCCCCTGCAAGGGAATCCGACTTCCAGTGAGATCTTGGTTGCCTTGCGAAGGATTAAAGGAGTTCATGTACTCAACCGAATTGTAAGTGATGATGCCGTTACCGCCACCACTTATCGGCGGGCGGGTCCTCTGCCAATCGGCAGTGCACCGAGCGTGCACTGGATCGAATATTCGGTGTTTCTCGCAAGGATCGAATCCATTTGGTTTGTATTATCCTTCTTCTGTTCGGAAAGTTGCTGGAAATGTTCGGTGCATCTCTGTGGCCTCTTCATCTTTGGCTCAAGATGTGGTTAATGACTCATCGCGTCCCTCGTTCGTACCCAAGGATGTGGTTCTCTATCAGTACGAGGCTTGCCCGTTCTGCAACAAAGTTGAAGGTATTTAACCGTTCTAGGTGTATTGAAATGAACAACTATTTAGGTTTGAGAATTATGTGGATGAGAAGCAATTTCTCACGTGTTTATGGGAATGGACATTAGATCATTCATTAACTTGAATGAATCAAACTTTGAGCTTAAGCTAGAATTCTTGTTGTGAAGTTTTAATTCTATTGCATCTCTTCCTTTCTTGGTTTTTAGAATTTCTGTTGAACTTCTTTTCCTCTCAGCCTTCTTGGACTATTACAACGTTCCTTATAAAGTTGTGGAGGTGAATCCTGTCTTCAAGAAGGAGATTAAGTGGTCCGAGTACAAGAAGGTGCCAATTCTGATGGTTGATGGTGTGCAGATGGTACTACAGGTTCATTCTGATCCGAAATCACTAGAAAAAATGGAGATTATAATTTATTTTTTTTTTGGTCATGTTGCAATCTTTTCAATTAGAGTAGTTCTAATAATTGGCCTGTTTTGATTGTACAGATATAATTGATAAGCTATACCAAAGAATTCATCCTGAGAACTCTGCCTCGATCTCAGAAGAAGAGAGGAAGTGGCTTGGGTATACTTTTTTACATCTCAAGGCTCTGTACATTTTTTTTTCTAGCAGCTTTTCTATGGACCCATTAGATTTTCTAGGCAAACAAGGCCTTTCCTACCAAAGAATTTGTGAAATCCCACGTTAGTTTTAGAGGAAGCCTTTGAAGGGGAAGCCTCTCCCTAAGAGACGTGTTTTAAAATCTTGAGGGATAGCCTTTGAAGGGAAAACCCAAATAGGACAATATATGTTAGCAGTGGGCTTAAAGTGTTACAAATGATATCAGAACCATATATTGGGTGATGTGCTAGCGAGGACGTTGTCCCCCAAAAGGGTGGATTATGAGATCTCACATCGAGGGGAACGGTTAAAGAGAAGAACGAAGCATACCTTATAAGGGTGTGGAAATCTCTTCGTAAAAGACGTGTTTTAAAACCTTGAGGGAAGCTTGTGAAGAGGAAACCCTTAAAAGGAAAGTCCAAAGAGAATAATATCTAGTGATGGTGGGCTTGGGCTTGGGCTGTTAGAGAATTTTGACCGACTAATTTGTGTTTCATCAGTTCTGTGTATCATATGCGACTGATGGATGAGCATGTCTTCCGTGTAGGTGGGTGGATAATCACCTGGTGCATGTTTTATCGCCAAACATATACAGAAATTACAAAGAGGCTCTTGAGTCTTTCAATTACATAACCTCACATGGTATGATAGTAGACCATTTTATGAACTATTTTAGCTGGCTTTATCGCATAGTTTTATCATATTTTACCGTGTTTTTTATTGTTTATTTCCCAAATTAGTTGTTATCTTGTCTTATCACATTGAATTATATATTAGCTGGGGGTTAGTTTCAAAATTATAAAATTTAATTTTCACTTTCTTATTATGTTGAAATAGGTAAATTTCAACTCATATGAACACTGTGTTCGTATGGGCCATGATAGTGGGGGAACTGATTTTTATGCTCATTTAGACATAGGCTTGGTCCAACAAAATGTTTATATGTTTATATGTTTATTTTTCTATTTTTTGTGTTTATCGATTGCAGAGTTAAAGCAAAAGAACTAGAGAGCTAGATTTGAAATGAGAGAATATAATAATGGATGAGCAATGGTCTCTAAAATGCTATGTTCAGCAGCAGGTTGATATGCCTTAGAAATGTATCTAGTACATGCATAGAGTCTCAGTTTTCTGTAATCATA